AAAAAGAAGGGTCAACACTGCAAATACTGAGTCTTTGCATAAACTTATTGTAATTGTCACTAAAAGCCTTTGACACTTATGAAATTCTTGTAATTATACTTCAGTATACCATAGTAACATCTGACAAAAAGATCTAAAAACACTGTAGCAGCAGACTTTGTGATAATTAATATTTGTGTCATTCTCAAAACTTTTGGCCACTGCTGTATGTATATGTGTACATATGTTATATGTGTGTGTATATATGTGTGCGTGTTTACACAGTCCGTTTTTGGAGTTCTGTGTAGAATGTCTCAGATTTGGCCTTTTTTTCTCTGCTTTTTTTTTGTGCTGTTCCAATACAAACAAAATAAACATGAGAATACCAAAGCATTTGTAATTTCTGGGAGAAGTAGTGCATTATCTGACAGAAATGCAGGGGTGCCAATATTTTTGTCCATAACTGTGTGTGTGGTAGAGCATTGCGTTAGCAGCGCAAAAGGTCGTGGGTTCAATTCCCAGGGAACACACATACTGGTAAAAAATTTATAGCCTGAATGTAATGTAAGTCGCTTTGGATAAAAGCGTCTGCCAAACGCATGTAAATATTAGGTAAAAATGTGTGCACTTTGGATGGGTTAAAATGCAGAGCACTAATTCCAAGTATGGGTCACCATACTTGGCCACATGTCACGTCACTTTCACTTTTTCACTTTCACTTAATTTAATGCATCATTGCTTAATCAAAGTATTAATTTCTTTCAAAAAAGAAGTCTTACTGACCCCAAACGTTTGAACGGTAGTGTATGTAAGTGAATCAACAAAATTTACAGCACATCTCCCTGTGTTATAATGCATCACCATACATAGCACAGTTGTCCCTGGAACACAATCTTAAAATAATGTCCTTTTAGCAACTTTCTTTACCATAGTCAGAAAGGTTTTTTGTATCTTGGCATGTGTTAGTTTAATAGTTGTGAGTAGGGGACATCACATATCACATGAGGTAGGCACATGTGATCTAATTAGTGTAACAAAATTACACTCTAATTTATGACATCTGCTACGAAACTTTGAATGAATGCAGACTGAATGAGATACAGCTGATACAGATGTTCATACACATGAAATAGTTAGATCCATTACAACTAACCAGTCATCCAATGCCTCACTTATTTATCTATAAAATGTAGTTATATTGACAAGATACATTTCACAAGAATACAAAGCATTTTTCAACACTTGAAAAGTGCAAACTACAGAAATAAAGGATTTCTGAATCTCCAAAGGCACAAAATGAGTTATTTGTCAAATCAGCTAGATGCAAACATGCATGTTTAATATAAATATAAGAACATATTTGAGAAAATTCTGGTTATTCTGAAATATTTATAAAACTGACAGATTTATTTCAGCGTGAAGTCTATATTCAAACTTAGTGTGATATGTGTTTGTTTTTCTTCAGATGAATATTTGCCTAAATAGCACATATAAAACACATATAAATACATAATACAAACCAAAAAATCTGATCACTTAATATATATTTATTTGACATTGTGATATCTGTGTCCTTCTCATCGTTTCCAGAAGAACATTTTCTTAAATGGATTATTCCTATCATATCTCTTGGCTCGCTCCAGCTTCACAAGGACATCCCTGACATTTGCCTAAATAGCACATATAAAACACATATAAATACGTAATACAAACCAAAAAATCTGATCACTTAATATATATTTATTTGACATTGTGATATCTGTGTCCTTCTCATCGTTTCCAGAAGAACATTTTCTTAAATGGATTATTCCTATCATATCTCTTGGCTCGCTCCAGCTTCACAAGGACATCCCTGACCTCCACCTCTGTTGACTGAACATTGGTGTGAATGTAGTCTATCATTGAGCTCTGCTCTTCTACTAACATGGCCACATCCAGAAACACCTCATGAAGGCTCTGAATGCGTCTCTCCAGCTGTAGCAGTTCCGTATGTCGGCTCTCGATATGGATGAGTGCAGACCGTGCCGTTTTACCTTCTGAAACCATATTCTCACTGAAGACGTTCCACTGACCACTCTCCAACATCTCTTCGATCTGGTCACCTGTGACCTCTCGCCCCACAATCTCCATCTGCCGTTGAATATACGCCTTGCAGGACTCCCTATGGCTCATCTCAGCGTCATTGTACTCCACCATGGCATCACGAAAACTGTTGCTTATGCTGGCGTACTGTGTTCGGGCGATTCTTGTCACCGGTGAATTGACGCCATCCTTTTCCTCTAACTCTTTCCTGTGGGAATCCATCTTGCGAAGGTGCATGAGCATCTCCTGTCCACGAGTTTTGATGTCAGCTGCAATAGCATTGGAGTCATTGGTATTAGAGGCACTAGAACAGACTGCGCCTGTAAAAATATGTGAGTTTTGATCCCTGAGACGCTTTACTTCAAGGCGGATGTACTGAATCTGACGGCGAGCCTCCAGTGCCTCATCAAAGACAGCTTCCAGGTCGGGGTTGGTGCTGGGGTCCTGAGGAGGGTCATCACAGTCTGTGTTTTCTGATGGAGAGAGAGCTTGGGCAGCTTCATGCTCTGCTGCAGTGCCATTAGACAGTGATACTGCCTGGAGGTGGCCAAGTCTGTCCCTCATGACTGGAGTATTAGACTGAAAAGTTGAAAACATTTTTGTCTATAAATTCATGACAAAGCGAACACACATAAACAGCAGCTGGTAAAATATACAGAAGGCTATTTATGGGTGACAACAACAAATAACTCTTGAAAACAGAATTTTCGTTGTTAGACATAACCCACACGTCAAAACGTCTGACTTGAGGAAAAGTACACTTGTGTCACTTAAAACCTGTCAGACAAGACAGACTTGTTTGTAGGTCCACGTTTAAAAATATAAGCTTTGTTTTAATGTCATTACGTTTTCTATTTGACTCTGCTCAATCGTTATGCATTTTTTTTTTATAATTTGAAGAGAAGACAAATAAA